AAAAACCATAATATTGCTCTAAGTGCTATCTCTCGTATCAAGGCAGCCATTGATGAAAGGCTCCGTGGAAGTCGGGTTGATAGCTATTAAAAGCTAGAAGATTATCTCATTGTAATGGCCGAAAAGAATCCAGGATCGATTTGGAGTTTCGAGAAGGACGACGATGGGACTTTCAAGCGTGCCTGTTTTTATCCCAACCATTGGGATCCGCGTTGCAAAAATGGCACGTTGACTTTACGGCTTTGATGGCACTCACTTGAAAGGGGAGATGAACAGCTATGGGTTTTTCTGGTGGCTACTACCAAGGATTATAACCAATTCATAACACCTTTCGGATTTTCGCTGGTACCAGTTGATAATAAAGACAACTGGATTTGGTTCCTCCAAGCAGTTTAGGAAGCTTTGGGTGATGACTTGGAATTCACAGCCCTTTCGGACCGGGATAAGGGCCTGCGCGCTGCTGTAGAGTTATTTTTTCAGAAGCGGGTCACCGATTTTGTCTTCGTCATATTAAGGGGAACATCGGACAGGCTCTCACGCAAAAGGAGAGAGTTATTATCTCTAAAATGGCGAACAGTGATTGCGAGAGCGACTATAAGTTGTTTGCTTCTGAACTCAGAGTCACAAAACCTTGCGCCGCAGACTACTTGAAGAACATCGATAAAAACATTGGATGAAATACGTATACTTGGACCACTTTCATCTACCAACTTACATGAGACTACGTCGAACCTTGCTGAGCAAGCAAACAATTGGATTGGCAATGAGTGCAGGAGTACCAAGCCTCTCGGCTCGTTCGGACTTTTTTCTGCAAGTTGAGTGATTTGGTTTCGGATAAGAGACAAAAAGCAGCTACCTGGCTAAGCTAGGGCACAGAAACGGATCTAGTCTCAAAGTTAAGCTGCAAACTCTCCGAACTCTTGAAAGAGGTCTCAAAATGCGAGGTTAAACCGTGCTTGGCTAGATCTTACAACGTCCTGTATCTTGGCCCTATAGCCGAAGAAGGATATGCCCACCCCTGGCGGTTAGTGGATTTACCGGCCTTAGAGTGTACCTGTGGAAACTGGCAAGACTTGGAATTCTCTGTGTGCACGCTTGTGCTGCCGCCATAAAAGAAGGACAATCGCTGGATACTCTGTACAACAGTGAGCGAATGTCAATTGGCCACTTTAAAGAAACTTTCCACTACCCTTTCAAGCCATGGCCGACGGATGGTATCTTAAAGAAAGACACGACATTGATTGTACCGCCGCTTCCAGCGACTTCGCGCGAGGGCGAAAAGCGAGGCTTGAAACCTGGCCCTCCAGCTAAACACAAGAGGAAAAAGTCAAAAGGAGGTGACTAGTTGGGTGCAGAGGGTAAATAACTACATCTACCTACATATTGAATATACTTTTCTTTTTAGCTCCTTTTGTTAAGATTTTTATTGTTAAAAATGCAATAGCACCTTGTACAACGGTTGCACTTTATAACCAGCAAAGCTGGTTTTTTTTAATTATAATACACTTGCACAAAAGAGGATTTATTATTCCGTCATTTTTTAACCCACTTTTCTATTTAGTAGTGGGTTTTATAATGAACCGTAACAGCCACGAGCGGTAAATGCGCGCTTTGGGCTCTTTCATGAAAAGATGGACATGTAAATCAACATTAAGCGACACATATTAACCTGTAAAAGATGTATTTTACTGTTCCTTCATTGAAGGACTCTGACCAGAATTCGACACGCCTGTGGATATGTATTAATAGTATTATTATGCACAATCACCTGATACTGCAAACAATGCTATTTTCTGCCCACTTTAACGCAAGTCTATAACTTGAGTCCAGTCCAATTGCGCCAGGCTTTTCGCGGCCGCCAAATTGTCGTTAAACGGCACCCATCTCGCTGCTCGCTTCGAATCCTCGTCTGCGGATTCGCCCATTGATTTATCTTCGTCTTTATTGTCGTCGAACTCCCAAAGACCAACTTTATCAAGCTCCCTCTTAATGGAGTACACCTTGCTCGACTGTCTACTTGCCTCCTTTTGCTTAGCTTTTTGTAGTGCAACAGCTTTTGGACCGCATCCTCGTTTGCGCAAGAGATGGTTTTTCAGCTTCGTATGGGAGCTGAATGTCGTCTTGCATCTGTAGCAAGTCTTAGGTTTACGTTGTTTTGGACGGCCAGCCTTCGGATTTGATGGAGTGCGGACGACGGGTGCCATGGTCGAGAGAAAAAATGAATAGGAGAGAAGCAAGGAAAGACAATAAGGGTTGCCACACCATGCCCAGTAGTTTGCAAAACAGTAAATTTGTCATTAGTACTATCACGAACACTGCTGGATAACAATAGTAACGCGCGTGAAAAGTACTTATCTGTACTTTCGCATTTCTCATCATGATTCATATATCTCAATAGTTTTTACTGAGTTATGGAAATTCTTCAATAGCAGATCCCAGGTCCTCACTTTACGGAAGCGTCCTAACCCGCGTCAATGTCGCAGCGCAAAAACAAAACAAAAGCGATAGGTTGGTCGGAGCCACGCAATTAAAGTCAGGGACACCGAAATCGCTGCATGCAAGCCACCATAATGGGCAACAAAAGTAGTCCAGGGTTTCTATCATAAAAAAATGCGTTATTAATGTTTTTTTTTTCTTCTTTCGAACTAAGTTATCCCCGGGCGTCACGTGCCCGGGTAAATAATGCTGTATAGTACAGCCCAAATCAGCTTAATAAATGTACGCGCCAGGATACCGATATCGTATCGGTGCCAAAATAGCGATCCCAGGGTTAATTGTACGCACTGGTATTAATATGCTGATACCATATGCATTATTGCATTCATTTTTATGGGCAACACCACGCATGGTTAGTATGAATTGCCCCGCATTGTTTGCTGAAGATGCGCGCCTTGGAGAGTCTATTTAAAATAGGAATATTCTAACAGTTTAAAACGTACTAGTATACTTCCAAACGAACATTTTCGGCAAAACAGATAAGCGACTACGAAAAAGGCGTGGAAGATGCATAGTATAACAGGGAGTACTCCAAACCTAACGGTGCGTAGATTTTATTAGTGGTTCTTAGCAGAACTGGAAGAGCGATTTTCCTGTTACACCAACTGCTTTTTTGCCCTACTCGCTGGGCTTGACCGAAAAAATGAACAGGGACGATTCAACCAAACCGGACGTAACAGCCTATATTTACGTATGAGGAGCTAAATGTTATAGTACAGCTGAAGTGACTAATTCGAGACCATTCGCAGGTAAATTGACGGCACTCCGATCATCTCGCGGCGGTGAGTGCACAGCATGATCTCGGTGCTGGTGAACTACGTGGAGCTACGAGGGTGGAAGATGAAGTTGTGGTGATTGCGCTCGATAGTGAGCTAAGGTGGTTTGTGAGATCCGCTGTGCGCGGTGTGCCGCGGCATCATAGAGCAGCATACATGTATCAACGATGGGCGAATGCAACAGATGCAGGAAATACTGTCGAAGCCGCAATATTCTTCGGTGAGCTGGCTTCATTTGAGATGCCAGAATCGCGTCTCCGCGTGCCGTTCAATTTCAACAGCGTGTCAGAGGAAGAGTCAGTGACTTTCTGCTTCACAAAATCAGAGGAAGTGATCCTAGTCGAGCTCATGGGTTTGACTTACATCACTACAAGAGAAAGGACCAAAGCCTCGGCTATTAAGGGCATCGTGTTGTATCGGCTTACCGTTCCTGTACGCGGAGCCGAGCTAGAAAGCTACTTTGGCCGATCCGAGAGTGGGATTTCAAATGTTTTGTGCACACTTTGAATGTAATCGACGCCAAGTACAAACAGATACTCAATTTTGGCGGTCACATTGCTGTCAAACGACTTCACACGTACGCCAATGCTTTCTTCGAAGTTGGGGCCCACACATGAACATTGGGAGCTTTACCGACGGCACGGTACGTGGAATTTGCCGACCACAACCAAGGAAAAACGGCACTGGCAAAATGTTGCCACATAAATCCGTTTACAACGGCCACAAACGAAAGCATGGCCTCAAATTCCAAACGCTAGTCACCCCGGACGGCCTCATCGTTCACTTATTCGGCCCATGCCTCGGTAGGAATCATGACATCACGATGTTCGACAAATCTGGACTTGCTGCTCATGTTCGAAGCGATTCTCGCTTTGTGGAGCACCGTAGTTTTGGCGACTGTGCTTAGAGGCGTGACGACGTGATGCTGAGTCCATTTGACGAGACAGTAGGCAATCTGGGTGTTGCTCAAAAGGAGGTGAACAGCAAGATGAGCAAAGTGCGAGTGTCAGTCGAGTGGTCTAATGCTCAAGTGATCAACTATTAGAAAGCTCTAGACGTCAAGTCAAATCTCCGAGTCGGTACACAACCTGTTGGGCAAATGTATCGTGTGGGTATCTTAATGACAAATTGCATCACATGCATCCGCGGTGGAAATACTGGAAGCGACTATTTCAACGTTAGACCACCAGATATCAAAGAGTATCTGAGCATACTCAGGAATTAGAAGTCAATTACAATTGCATTTTAATTGTCCTTATGGGCAATCGCTGCGCTAAAGATCTTTGTGCACTCGATGATGAGGCCGTGGTTGTTATTCTAGATTCGCTCTTGGAAGAGAAGCTGCTTTTCGTCCCGCTCTCTTTCAAAGTTAAGTCGACGCTCAAATTGCTGTTGTGATTGCTGGAGCTCTTGCTCCTTGAGCATGATCTCTTGACGCTGGCGCTTTTCTTGCCGCAGCACCTCCCTTTGAAATGCGTTTACTCGCCTTGGTGTCGATCATCGTGAACGAGAAGAGGCAACAGCCATCGATGCCACACCAGAAACAATGCTTTCAGCGTCGCTACAACATTTATTGGAGTCTTCCACATCAGAACCTGCACGACTTGCCCGTCGCACATCGCTTTCTCGAACCAATTCATCAGCACATATTGTCTGTTGCTCGTCCTTTCGTTGCTTTTTTGTCTTGGCGGCTGTAATTGGCCCCTCCATTACATAAGTAGGTAGATTACTTAACAAAGTAGGTGCATCAGCACACGAGTAGCGTGTGCTGAATTGTTATCATCTTATTGGCTGATATATGGGAGCCAGACCCATTATTAGCTAAAATAACGGATGACATGTATTTGAGCGGCCAGGGCTATCACCCTGGTCCTAAATAAAGTCAGCGTTGAATCTTCCTGATAACCGCGAGCTTTCTCATATCTACAGTGCAGCTAGTGACGGATAAATACCTGGCCCGTCACACCTGGTAGCACTTTGTAGTCCTTCCAATGCCCAAGTTCGACATGAGTCAAGACCTCGACCACGCTGCTTTCCCCAGCTGGCTCGTATAGAGTGGGAAACTTTCCACCGCCTCGTGGCGGTGTCCGGTGAAGCCATCGTCACATCGCTGTTGCGCTCAGCGACTCCCGATCAGCAGCGTCTCGCGGCACAAGCGTTCGCGGAACGCGAGCTCGCCGATGCGAATCGGCGAGTATCAACTCCCTCGCGTTCCTCCAAGCACGACATCTTGAAGTTTGAGACGTCGACCTACTCCGGCGTCGGCGGTGATCGTCTTCCGCTGAACCGGTGGTTCCGGGAGATTGATATTGCCATCGCCTAGAGGTTGCTCGAGGCGCCGTCGGCTAAAGTCAATTTTCTCCTCTCTCGGCTGTCCGGGAAGGCTAAGGAATGGGCACTCGGCAAGCGGTTTGTTGATCATGACGCATTCCCCACCCTGGAAGCGCTCCAGAGCGATCTTCGGCTCGCCTTTGATCCGCCTCAAGCTGAATCCCGCGTTCGAGCAGACTTCTTTGCCCTTCGGCAAGGCTCAATTTCCATGCGCGACTACGTTCAGAAGACGCGACATCTCGCGTCGTGTATCGTAACCAAGCCCATCGACATGTCCTCTCAGGTCCACGTCTTCGTGTTCGGCATGCGTGAGGGCACGCGCACCATTGTGGTGGAGTGGGGGTCGCAAAATCACGTTGTGATCCACTCTGACACACAGTGCCCTGGACTGCCGACTAACGGAGGG